AAACAATAGAACAATTTCTTTTTTTTTCTTCTAGTACTTTTCCCAGCATTTTTAATGTGCCTACTTTTCTTAATGAAAATATATGCAGTCATTTTTTACATGCAAAAATTCTTAACATAATTGTAGCAAATCAAATTCAATTCAGCATCATCACTAAGTGGGTTTTTTAAAAAATGTTTTTTAGTTGTCAATTGACCTTTGTTTTTTACTTATTTATATGTAGTGCTAACAAGTGCTTTACCATTGAACTATAATCCCAGCCCACTAAATGGTTTTTTTTTTACTAGCTTTTTTAAAAAAAAAAAAAAAAAGTTTTCTTTTTTAGTTATACATGACAGTACAGTATCTTTTGACATGTTTATACAAACAGAGTATGTCTTATTCTAATCAGGATCCCAGTCTTGTGGACAAACACGATGTTCAGATTTCAGATTTCCTATATGTACATAGGAAAGTTAGATTAGGTTTAGGAATAAGTGTCGATTTCACATTCAAAAGTCAGTCACTGTGGCTGGGGCTGTAGCTCAGTGGTACAGCTCTTGCCTAGCAGTTGTGAAGCACTGGATTTTATTCTCAGCACCACATATAAATAAAATAAAGATCCATCAACAACTAAAAAAAAGAAAAAAATTTTAAAGTCATTGTATAATACATATTCACAAACTAAGAAATTATTGTCTCACTAGATGAAAAAAGCACTCAAGAAAGTCCAATATTCACTTCTGATTTTAAAACAAAATAAAATTAAATATTCCCAGTAATTTAGGAACAGGAATGTTCTTCAACCTGATTAGTTGCATCTAAGAAAAATTCACAGCTGATGGAGAAAGACTGAATGCTTTTTTAAGGAAAAGTTGTTTGCCGTGCTGGAAATTTAAATCAATACAATAAGTCAAGAGAAAGGAAGAAAATATGTACACATCAGAAAGAAAGCAGTAAATCTGTCTTTATTTGTAGACAGTATGATTATGTGGGAAATCTGTTGGAATCTACCAAAAGCTACTGAGGTTTAATCCAGGGTTTCTTGATACAAAGTATATACAAGTTTGCAGAATATAAAAATAAATGTGATTTCATACAGTAGCAATAGACAATCAAGAGGAAAATACATATAAATATCACTTTCAGTGGCAAAAGAAATATAAGGTAATTAATATCTTTTGCAAAAGATATGAAAAACTTTCATAGTGAAAACTGACAAATACTGTTGAGAGAACTTAAAAATGACTTAAATAAATGCAGAGCTTTATTGTCAATATTTATGGATTAGAAGAATCGATATATTTGTCAGTTATCTCTAAATTGATACATAAATTCACCAATCCTAATCAAGATCTATTTTGCAAAAATTAACAGATTGATTCTAAAATGAATATGGAAATACAAGATCTGAAAGTAGACAAAATGACTTTGACATCTATAATAAAGTTTGAGCACCTACACTTCCTGACTTCAAACTCCACATTTAGTCATAGTAATCAAAGCAGTTTGTTATTGGCATAAAGGTGGGCAAAGAGATCAAGGCAACAGAATTGAGAATCTGGAAATAGACCTACACCTGTATGGTCAGTTGCCTATCGATGAAAGTACAAAGACAGTTCAATTTATTGAACATTCATATTTTTAAAAATTTGCACCAAGTATAAAATTAACTGAAAATGGATCATAGCCCTAATGTAAAACTTCTACAGAAAAACATACAAGAAACTGAATAATTGCGATGTACAGAGATTTCTTAGATAAAAACAAAAACATGATTCATAAGGAAAAATTGTAAATCAGACTTCATCAAAATGAAGAACTTAATTTTCCTCAAAAGCATTATAAAGAGAATGAAAGGAAAAACCACAAACTAGAAGAATAGTTGTAAATCAAAAATGTGGTAAAAGGACATGCATGTGGGTATGTAAAGAACTCTGGAGATCTGATGACAAGAAAAATAGCTAAATAGTAGAATACTTAACCCAAAGAAGAAATAAAATTATGAAAAATGCTAAGCATCATTTTCCAATAAGGAAATGTAAATTTAAAATCACAATGAAGCCTGTAATCTCAACAACTTAGGAGGCTAAGGCAGGAGGATTCTACAATCCTCAAGGACAGCCTCAGCAACTTAGTGAGACCTTGTCTCAAAATTTAAAAAATTTAAAAAGAGATGGGGATGTGGCTCAGTGTCTAAGTGCCCCTGCGTTCAATCCCTGGTGCCAGACACACACACAGTGATGTACCACCACATATTAGAATGTTTAATATTGAAAAGGTTTTACCAAACCATTTTTGGTAAGAACACAGAGCAACTATAACACTAACATACTGTTGGCATTAATGTAAAATGGTACAGCCACTTGGAGAAATAGTTGGATAGTTTCTTAAAAAGTCAAATGTACACCTGCTGTAAGACCCAGCCATTTTACCCCTTGATATTTGTCCAAAATTAATTTAAATGCCTATACAAAGACTTGGACATAAAGCTTCATAGCAGTTTTATTTGTAATAACCCCAAACTGGAAGCAACCCAGATGTCCATCAACAGGTGAATGGATAAATTGTGTTATATATATACAGTGGGATATTACCCAGAAATAAGATGGGTAAATCCTTGATACATGTGGTAATATGGATGAATGGCATAGTATCATATTAAATGATAAGAATACAAGGAGTACATCTTATATGATTCTGTTTATAAAAATTCTAGAAAATACAAATCTATCATGACAGATCTTATCAGTCATTGCCTGAAGAGGGATTGAATAGAGGATACAACTGCACAGGGGACAAAAAGACATTTGCAAGTGATGGACATGTTCACTATCATGATTGTGATGACAGTTTCATGGGTATTTAGGTATGTCAATATAAATTGTGTGTTCTTTGTATGTGCTAATTATAGTGTTGTTAATTATGCCTAAGAACTGTTTTTTTTTTTTTTGAAGTCCCAGCCATCATAGAACTTGTGTTTTATTGGGAGTGTGGTGTGATGATGAAGGTAGACAAATGTATGTATGTGTGTATTGTGTGTGTGTGTGCGCGCACACACACTCGCACGCACATATAGGTGTATCAGCTGTTGAAATGGTTTTTGAAGGAAATTAGAGCAGTGTGAGATAGAAGGTAATGGAGAGAGTATTGGATATGTATAATAAGGAAAGTCCTTGCTAGTAACTTCACATTTGTACAGACCATTACGCTCCTTCGTACTCTTTTTGAAACTATGATTCAGCTTTTTAAAGGTGATCATCTAAAAGGGCAGTAGTTTTCCCCTAATTTGAAGGCAGATTTAGGTTTTTTACCTCAGAAGGATGGAGATGTTAAGGATGGTCAGAGTTGTGTAAAACCTAGTTCCACTGCCCATTTCAGCCAAAAGAATGTACTGTTGTTATCTTTAGAATGCAATAATGAAGATCTCTTTGGTGCACATTCTTAGAATGGTGAGTTAGAAGGACTCATTCTCCCAATCAGCAGCTTGGTCTCCCAGTTTCCTGCCAGGTAGAGGAAACTACCCCTCAGTTTTCTAAAAAGAAAACCAGAACTTCTCAAGTGTGTATTGCCTGTGTTCTTGTGTGCATATATGTTATGCTGGTGAAGAGAATACACCAATTTATGAATGGAAAAAGTAAGGTTTCTATCAGTGGAGTGGCCCGATTGCTAATGTCCAGTCATCTTAACAAAATAGCTAGAAGGAAATGTGTTCTGAGGGGTTGAAGGATGCTGAAAGAAGAGCCATATTGTTCTTAGTAGTCATTGTAGCTAATGAATAGAACCTGAATTTGGTTCCATCCCCAAAAGAGTGCTTGCTAAAAATGAGACCTTAGAATACTTTTGTACTGTGGGCAAACAGAGAAAAAGTGTTAAAAAGATTCAAAATGCTTTGTAACATGTGCCATAAACTGAAATGTGGTTCTCTATTTTGAAAACATGCTTTTAACTCCGCTCATCTCCCAATTTTTCAAAAAAGTAATCTGTCTAGAGAATAATTTAAAAGCTTTTGTCTTTTTATTTAATATAAAATTGGTGACAGTGAGAGTGGGAAAACAATGATCTAAAGCTAATTTGTGTATTTGTTTCTATAAATTTTTTTATAAAACATCCTAATTTCTGTCATTCTTGTTTGCCATTTTCCTATTGCTATGAGAATCGTATTCTGTCCTGAATTGTATTCTGTGCTTATCAGAGCATACAGTGTGACTCCAGGCTGTGGAATTAGGCATCCTGTGTTTCAAAACTAAAATAATCTTTAAGCATTCCCTGTTTCCAAGAGTCAGAGCCCTGAGAAGTAGGAACCCTGTGACAGCCCAGCTACCTCCTGGCCTGTGGAGGTTCAAGTGGATCTGGCTTTTATAACCTTCAACAGCCTGTGTGTTTTTTGTTTTTCCCACTCCTATGCCTGCTGCAGGACCCACTGAGCCCAGCTCTGTCAGTCCTAAAGAAGTTACTCTGAATATCTTTTTTGGCACTGTTCCCTTTGAGTATCCAGTAAAAGCTATGAGCAGAATTTTACATCTAACTTCTAGGGCTACATGAGTCCTTAGTCCAGGCCAAGGGCAGGGATAAATGCCTCTCTCAAATATGCAGAGTTCTTTATGAAGTTCAGCACACTACCCGTGACATAGTGAAAACTGTATTGTCATATTTTTAATACTGACCTCTTTAGACAAGCACATAGAGGAGAGGAAAGAAAAGCCACAATGTTATGCTTTGCACATACGTTTTTTAACAACAACAAAAATAGGAAATCTTTTTCAGTATCTTCCTCCCACCCTATTTTATAGGTCCTTGTTGTTCTGTTTCACATAATCTCTCAAATTTTTATACAGAACAGCCAAGAACTCACCGTTCTGTCTTCAGACTATTAATGGGGAAGCCACACACCCTATCTGTGACTCAGTCTTTTGTATTGTTCCTTCTACTATTTGCTCTCTAATTTTATCCTTGAAATCAATTTTGCTAAATTGAACTTAGTTAACAATACTCACTCTTTCTTCCTTTTCTTCTTGCAGCTTGTACCTCCTTTTAAGCCTCAAGTAACATCTGAGACAGATACCAGATATTTTGATGAAGAATTCACAGCTCAGACTATTACAATAACACCACCTGAAAAATGTAAGTAAATTTAGAAGGTAACTGATAACAGTCTAAAATTATTAAAGAAAATAGATATTTTTAAAAGATCATTTGGTTTGTTTTTGTTGTCATTGTTGTTTTGGCTGGGAATTGAATTCAGGGGTACTTTACCATTAAGCTATACCCCTAGATACCCCTAGTCTCCTAGTCTTTTTTATTTTTTTAATTTTGAGACAGGGTTTTGCTAAATTGCTCAGGCTAGCTCAAACTTGGAAACCTCCTGCCTCAACTTCCCAAATTAACTGGTATTGCAGTCTTGCACCACCATGCCCTGGTTCATTTGATTATTTCAAGACCAGATTCCATAGTGACTTTTATTCTTTTTCATTTAAGATTGTGGAGTTCCCTTTGTGTAAATACCAAAGGTGGCTGCAAGAAAAGCTTTTCTGAGAAGGAAAAATGACATGTATAATTATTGTAAATGAAATTACAGACTGATTAGCCCTTCCTCACTATTCTCCAGTAGATTCTTTTTGACATCACCTGGAAGGATTCTATAGCCTCCATTTCTAAGACCTTTCTCATTCACATGCCACATTCAAAATTGTGTCAATTCTAATCTGGCCATTATTTAATGGTGAGACACTCCTTCTAAATTATCATTCTCTTAAGCAGTAATATCTGTGAAGACATAATTTAGTTTGCTATTAATTTTTATACACATAAATTATATTTTATATTTCTTAAACGGTATGTTCATGTACCACCACAAATTATTCCACATACATTAGAGTATGCTCCACACTTTGAGAAACACCATAAATAACTGGACTTTAATTAAAGGAAAGCTTACCAGATATAACTTGAAAACCTTTTCATGTTGACAAAGGTCTGTCTGTTATTTATTTAGGAATAAGGGTAGGATTGATTGTCAGGGTGATATTTGAATAGCTAAAAAAATTCTTCAAGGAACACAACTTAGGCTCACACAGTGACATCATGTTCATGTTTTTTTCCTTGTCCTCTGTTCCCCACATTCTCCTCTTCTGTTAGTTGCTAGTGCTCATGTACACTGAATGCCCGTTAGAGGCAAAGACTAAAGTGAAATTCTGTTCCAGCAATGGTCATAATCAACTGATGTTAGTCTTGAAAGACAAAGTAGGAGTCATTTGGGCCCAAACTTCTAATCTGGAGTTCATAACCTGGCAACAAGGAGACTGTGAGCACCCTAAGATGAAAGATATAATTATGTGTGCATGTGCACTTCTTTATTCTTTCTTTAGATTTTTAAGAAGTTAAGAACCTCTAAACTTTTTTTAAAAGTGAAGAAGTTGGAATGCAGAGAGAAATTGAGCTACTTAAGGCCTTTAGTTAGTGTCAGTCACAGCCAGAGCAGAGCTTACTAACTTGGCTGATGCCAAGGTTAAGTTATAAAATATTAGCATGCAGAAGTGGGCTCTGAGTGCCATTAGAATTTTAGTATCACTAAGAGCTAAAGACAATGTTAGAAAAAAGTCTGTGGAATCATGGGCAAGTAACTTACAGGCCATCTGAATAGAAATAATGGGACATCTTTGGTCTCTGGCCCCAGAATGGAATGTGGCAATATAATTGTTCAAAATGCTGGGCAACATCACTGAGTTGTTGGAGCAACCCATGGACAATTACCAATATAGAGCATTTGCTAAGTCCCATCATTTGGATATAACCCTAATTGAATTAGATCATCATTCCTCAACCTAATCCTTCCAGTGGTTCCCATTGCACTGTATATCCAAATTACTCACCCTGGCTCACACAGCCCTGTCAGATCTGGGCCTTCTACCTCTCAGGCCTCTTTTTATTTTATCTTCCCGCGCAGTCCCCATGATCCAGCCATACCTGGAATATGCCACAGTTCACTATGCCCTGGGACTTTGGTCTTTTATAGTTCTTTCTGCCTAGGATGCTCTGTGTCCCAGATATTTGCATGAATGGCTACTTCTTGTAAGAAAACTTACATTACTTCATCAGAAATCTACCTTTAACCTTTCAGTACAAGGAACAGGCTTCCTGACCCTACCCCCTGACACTCTTATTCTCTACATTGACACCTTCACTTGCTATTAATTTTCTGATTAATTTTGTTGTTATTGTTTTCTATTTATGCCACTGGGACACAGTAGCTCTGAGAGGAAGGATCTAGTGTCTCTTAATCATTGCTTGCCCCAGCTCCTGGCTAGAAGCCTGGCCCTAGTGTAAGTACTCAATGAATACTTACGAGAGGTGTGAATTCACAGACTGTGGCAACGGGCTGGGGGGCCTTGGACCCAGAGCTGTTGCCCATGGGAGCTTGGCTTGCTTCCCCACTCCATATCCACAGTGGGCATTGGGATAGGAAGGTCTTGACATGTCCATGGCTTCAGCCTCTTTGAGACTGGTTCCTTTCTTAAACAGGGCTTTTGGCATTTGTGGACACTTTTTCAGGACAGTTAAATATATTATTTTGGATGTCATAGAAATAGGTGGGCTCTGTAAATGCAAAATCATGAATAGATATTTTATTTCTGAAATTTAAAAGTGAAAGTTTGGGAGACAAGTGAAGATGAAAAAACCCTGGGCTCAGACCTGAGGAACCATCTTGTGTTCTATCTTTACTAGCTCTAGGATGTGACAGGTCATTTTGTCTTCTGGAAAAAATAAGTAGAGAAATAAATGGTCTCTAGGAGTCCTGTGTTTGCTATGTGCCTGAGAAACCATCTCTTTAAGAAAGAGACTTCTCTAAGTGTGAATAACCCCTAATTTTGATTTACTCAGTCACTAGATTAACCAGTCTATAGTGTTACTTTTTCTGTTTTCTTCTACCTGAAGAGTGACAATAGGCCAATACAATAAACAGGTAGCTAAAGGGGATAATGGTGAGTGAAGGGCTGTGGGGAAGAGACTGACTAAAGTAGGATGCTAGGGAATATAAGGCTACAAAGACCACAACAAAAGTTGAAAAATCTACCAAGTTACAAATAAGTTAAATAAAAATGGTTATCAAGACCTTCATAGCTAGTCAGTTGTTATTTCATTTTTGCCTTGAATTTTAAAGCCCTTGCTGTCAAAGAACAGAAAATCTGAACAATTCATCTTATCTGCTTTATCCTGAACTCCAAGCACTTGTGGCAGTTGTCCTGATGAGAATTTGTCACTTGTGTGCATTTTATTGTTGTTTCTAGAACTTCTGAAATGAGATTAAAATATTAGAAGGTACCTTAAGGCCCTCAGCAGTGTTTTTCTAGAACATAATTTGAACCTAGTTCCTCAGCTTGATTAAATGATGATACAATATGAAAGCCAACAAGAGTGTTTTTCCTGATTTGTCATGTTTTATCACTAAGCACCTCTTTTCTGAAAGGAATATATGTCATCTCAGATGTGGGTCATGCTAAATAAGCTTCAGTGTCTTTGAGGGATTTTAGATTTGTTTCTACACTGAGACAGAGACAGGAAGCCCATACATTATACTAATCTCCATGATGGATATCAGCCCCCTGCAAGGCCTATGGAAGCCTGTCTTTTGTGGATATCAGAAGTAGGGTGAGGTTCTGGACAATACAGAACAGGAGCCCAGCAGTATCCCCCATAGTCCAGGCAGGTAGAGCACAGTAGATTTGTGGGTTCACTCTTCTATTAAGAACCTGTAGGGATGATGGAAGATGAAAGTGCTCTGTAGAGTGCACTTCTGCACAACAGGCACACATGTGTTTGCAGGCCCTCTCCTGTTACCCAGAACTGACCAGTCATGCCTCCCCTGGCTCCCTATAGGAAAGGATGGCCTTAAGGACTGATAGCTATAGTCTCAGGTTCTACTAGAACTAGAGCAATGTTTTTAGTTTGATAATCCCTGGATCTATCCTGCATTCCCTTAAGGGACAGATAAAAGGAGTCAGTGAAACCCAAACTGGGATCACATTTGAATATAATCTGTTCTTTGGGCAGCTCTGAATAGTGGCACAGGTAAGAAATTCTGGCAGCTCTAACAGCTGGCATACACTGAGGTTTTGTTCATGAAAGTCCACAGCAGTACCGTTGGTCAGCAACTGTCTTCCCACTTGCCATCTTGCTTCTATAAAAAAAGAATGAAGTTATTTTCCAGAACAAATCAGCAGTTAAGAAAGGCAAAATGTTCCATTTTCTGCAAACAACTGCAGTAACATGCCAGATTGTCCTCACTAGTGTTAATTAATTGAACAGATTTTGGAATGTGTTGTCTTTTGTTACATCCATTAATGGTCCTCTGCCTTCCTCTTACAAAAAAAAAGAAATTCTTTGAGATTTGGTCACTTTTACTGCTATATAATTTGTTAAATGCTCTAAGAAAATTGGGGACCTGGTGCACCTTGGATCCAGGGATCCAGAAATTGTTGAGTTGATCATCCTGTTTTCTTTTTCCAGATGTGTGTTTGTTTATTTAGTTCATGTTCATCATTATTGTTGTACCTGTGGAGGTCCTTTTGTAGCAGTAAACTCAGACGATTTATTGTCCCTTCCCCCACCTCACTCATACTACAGTCCCACCTGCCCCAGTAGCACTGAGGGCCCAAGAGATGCCCCTGCCTTCCTTTCCAAGCTGATGCCCAGTTGGGCCATGATCAGATAGTCAACCTTCACTGTTACCAATTCTGAGAAAACAGAAGGGAGCAGGAGTGATCAAGTGATCAGTGGATTTAAAGAATATCAAGATATAGAACCCCCAAAGATAATCTGTGAAATTTTCAATTTTGTTGCTGAAGTGACAGAAGGAAAACTGTCTTAATTCTCAGCTTACATCCAGCAAAAATTCATCCTCCAAAAGGAAATGCAGTACCTGCCCATGAGGAGTACCTGCATAATCCAATGCTGAACCTTGCCAGCCTAAGATGAGGCCTGGTCATAGCACAGGGAGCCAGGGAAGCCTTTGCCCTTCACTGGCTGAGGGGGATAAGCTCCAAACTTACCCACACATGGTGTCCAGGGCTCACTGCACATTTGCTGAGTGTAGAAACACCCAGGAAAACAAAGCTGTTAGTGGGAAAAACTGTTTCTTTGAAATGTGATTGTCACATGTCAGTGTCTGAACACTTAATTAAGATTTCAGCTGCTTTTTCTTGAGAGTTTTTATATTGTGCAACTCAGTAGTAGATATGTCATCGTTCCCCAGATCCTCCTAGATTTCATGCAGCAGAAAATATTGCTGAAGGTGTTTGATCAGAAAGATGCACATGATTTGATTGGTACTGAACCAAAATTTTATAGAGATAGAGGTTTCCCTAAGCCTGAGCACTATCTGGAAATGCTGGCAGTCCGTTTGCAGAGCAAGGCCCTCAGAGTTCATGTCCCACACAGAAGAAGGAGCCACACATACTGCCTTAAATTTTGATTCTGCCAGTTGATTATACAGTTAATATTTTTGTGGTACATTAGAAGTTACAAATTTTCGTTACTACCAAGTTGGATCCATTTCTGAGAATCTTCTGCATTAGTAACAAACTACAGAAAACAAGACCAGGGAGAAAAGAAAAAACAGAGCAGAGATGTTTGTTCTTCAGATGAAGGCAAAGTGCCGTTTTTGGTGGGGTGACAGGATCAGTGTGCACTACATTAAGTCTGGCCTCTCTTCTTGCTCTCCTTATATGAAGTTGGTATTCCCTGGAGAGGCTGGAAAGTAAAAAGAATTGGTAATGTACCTCTGATATAGATTTGAAGAAATAGAGTTATTTTGCTTGAAGAAAAAGCTTTTGATTTTGATTAATTGTAAGACAGCATACAATTAAATGAGCTTAGAATGGAGCAGGGGAGACTTTAAATGGAGCACTTTCCCCAGTGGACAGACGGTGAGCTCAGGGACCACAGGAACTTTGTTCTGAACTCCCTCCATGGGGTCTGCATGGTGCTCAGCACCAAACAGTTTCACAGGGATTGTGTGTTGGCTGAGTAACAAAGTGTATGGCCACATCCAAGGAAGAGCTTCCTACTAGTGTAGGATTGTAATCAAACAGCAGTTATGGGAAGAGGAGGTGTGATCATTTGTGATCTTGTAAATACAAGAGAACAGGAGGAGCAGCTTAACTAACGTAAGCAGCCTTCTTTGATGACTTTTAAACCTTTTCTCCTGATCCATTTTCTGGTGAATTAGGCCTTAGATACTGCCATCTTTTCCTCTTTTTCTTTGTTTCAGTCTTTTATTCTAGTTTAAAACTTTAGCATAGGAAAATTGAGAACAGTGAGTTAAGGCAGATGTTAGATATTGAATAAAACTGCATATGAAGCTTTATTTTGCAATCACACTTAAGTACCAGAAAGAAAAAATGTGAACACTTGAAGACATGATAATGGATCCTTTATAGATATTTTGGGTGCTGTATAATTCGTTGGCTTCTGTAATTTGGACATACATGATTTTATAAAATAAAAGGTTATTAAAGATTATTCCTTTACAAATTCTGTTTTCTTCAGTGGTAGTTTTTTCTTTTTTCTTTTATTTTCAGTTTCATTGAGTCATGAGATTTTGATGCCTTGGAGATGATTTTATAGTATTATTTCTGCACAGACCATGAGTTTATAAAAATTGGGTAATTTTTAAAATATAATTACTGTATGTTTTAGTGATAAACATAAGTTTATGGGAGCTCTTGTCCCTGTTAGTCCTTCTTATGTTAGAAGTTAAAAAACATAGACCAGAAATAATGTTGCAAAAAATAAATGTGAAATTAAGACAGCTGTTTCCTGCCTGCAGATGACGAGGATGGTATGGACTGCATGGACAATGAGAGGCGGCCACATTTCCCTCAGTTCTCCTACTCTGCAAGTGGACGAGAATAAGTCTTTCATTCTGCAACTTCACTGTCATCGTAGATTTTATTACTGAAAATGATTCCTGGGCATCATCACCAGTCCTAGCTCTTACAGATAGCAGGGGCTTCTCCGACATCCCAGACCAGCCAAGGGTCTTCACCCCTCGCCATCTTTCACTCACATGAAAACACGTATATACACAAACACACTCCAGTTTTTGTTTTTGCATGAAATTGTATCTCAGTCTAAGGTCTCATGCTGTTGCTGCTACTGTCTTACTATTATAGCAACTTTAAGAAGTAATTTTACAATCTTTGGAAGTCATGAGCCCACCATTGTTCATTTGTGCACCAGTTGTCATCTTTTAATCTATTAGTTTTTGTTTTTCCCCAGCATTGAAGGCTAAATGAGATACACTGATTCTAGGTACATTTTTTAACTTTCTAGAAGATAAATCAAAAACTAATTAGACTAAGAAGAATCTAGTTTATATTTCAAAACAAGCAATTGTGGAAGGATGGTATGTGCATATGCACAAATTTAGTCAAGGATGTCCAATCAGTGCATAAAGTAAGTCTGTATTCACTAAGGTTTGGCTGGAATTTATTAGGAAGCACTTGAGAGAGGAGTAACTATTTTATATACATATATATATATATATGTATGTATGTATACACACATATGTATATATACACATATATACATATATGTATGTGTATATATGTGTGTGTGTGTGTGTGTGTGTGTATATATATATATATATATATATGTATATATTTTTTTAAATTCTTGTTGGATACTACAGAGGAAGCCTGGTATCACACATGGACATCCAGACTTCATGGGCAATCATAGGCAAATGGACATTGTTCTACCAAGAAATGAAGCATATGCACAAAATCAAAGTCACTTAAATGGTCTCATGATACACTTTGTGCCAGAGGGCATTTTTCCCTGTGCTCGGCAACCCTTTTTTCTTCTTGATATTTATCACCTCTGATGGCTGAAGAATGTAGACAGGTATAATGATCCTGCTTTCACCAAAATTTGTATACCAAGGTAAACAAGTGTTTGCCTTATTAGTTTTAATTTTTTACTTTCAGTTCTAGGTGAATTAGCTTTTTCTCAGATGTTACAACTTTGAATGTCCTTTTATGGTTTTGTTTATATTGCAGTAGTATTTATTTTTTAGTGATGAGAATTGTATGTCATGTTAGCAAATGCAGCTCCAACTTACATGAAATAGACTTACTGCAGTTTCTTTTGACCCATGTGCAAGAAATATACACATCCATGAGAATCATGCACTTTTCCTCCTATGTAAAAAAAAAATTGATAAGGTTCTGAAATTGTACAGATTGATTAGAATTTGGCTTTGGGAGAAGAGATGCTATCATTTAACCCCGTGGTGCTGAAAATTTTAAAAAATCCCCAAATGTCTATGCCCAAGGGGTTAATGAAACAAATAGATATTGATGTTTTCTCACTTGAGAACTGAAATGTTAGGATGGCCTGGTAGCATAACATAATGAAGAAAATTGAGACCTGAATGATGATAAAGAAATGAACTTTACTTTGAAAAATGAACATATTGCAAGTATTTATGAAGTAGGCAGTAAAGGATAAGAACCTGGTGTGTTTATTCTGATCAAGGTACATTTATCACTGAATTAAGCCATCAGGGAAAACAAAATGAAACAAAAAAGAACACCTCTAGCTTTTCTTTTTCTGTAAATACTCATGTCTCCAAATCCCAACATTTTTCACTGAGAGGAGACATGTATGCAAACCTCATCTTTCTCCTTCATTAATGATGATCTTCAGATTAAACCCTTTGGTGCTAGGAGCTGACATTTTCCAAAGCAGCCTATGAAGTCCAAGGGCAGGGTCCCTTCTTACAGCAAGTGGGAGGGCATCCCACCCCATGGAGTGATTATGGAAATGTGTTCTAGATAAACTGACAGCTCCCAAATGGAAGACTACAGCATGACGTAGTATTATGATTGCATTGTATGAAAGAGCAAGTGACTTTCTAAGTAGGATGAATCATGTTCATATGCAGATGTCTTAGCCTCACGACGCTGGAAGTGTGGATTTATAGCTCTTAAGCCACTGCTGGCGGTGGGTGGGCCACTGGGACTGATGGGGTTAAAGGGCATTCTACTAAGGCAGCTAAGACATATTCAGACATAGATTTTATCCTAATTTTTCATATTTCTACTTGAGTCAAGTTCATACTTAATATTAAGTAGGAAGTTACAGTAAGTAGTAGTTCATTCTTATTTACATCTGTAGCTTAATTATTTTTTTTTCTACTGGGAATTATATTGAATGTTCCACATTGAAAAGAAAGTAGACCAGAAGGTTTGTCCTTTAAGTTGTCTTGCATCCAATATATAAGAAAGAAACAGGTGAGAGGAAAAGAAGGAAGCTGAAACTAGCTGATGTTCAGAGCATTTGCTGCTTCAGAGAGAAAGTATGACACTGTACACTAAGCACATAGCTTTTGTTTTGTTTTTTTCTCCCCCAAATCTTAACATGATTTCCATGACATTGGCCAAGGATACTTCCTAAAGATTAATGACGGCTCTGATAGTGTTCCAGGCTGGCCACTGCTCTCACAGCTGGCCCTCAGTCTTCAGCCATGTGCAGGGCTCAGTCATCCCCTTCTTGGCTCCATCAGTGTCAAACGAGGTGTATTCTTGACTTTGATTTCTAGGATCCCTTCCTTTTACTCCCAGATCTCAAGTCAGCTGGCATGGAGGCATGATGAAACACAGAAAGGTGTACAGAGGGAGATGATGAAACTTCCCTGTGTTGCCCATAGTTGTAGTTTGGGATTCTGGCAGGCAGGACAGCCTGACACCTAAAATCATCCTGTTGGAATACAATTCCAACTTTGTGAACTCCAGCTCATACTGTCATGAAGTTGACCCCGTGTCATAATGCAGCCATCTTGGAGGAAATTGGCTACTTCTGCTTGGATTGTTGGCAGGGTTGCTCACAGCTTTGCTTTCTATACTAATTACATAGCATTATTCCAGTATTGTTTTCCATTTCCTGTACCTGATTTCCGGCTTCTTAAAGCTGACTGTTCTTGCAGGGGCCACTTGCTTCTCCTAGAGTACAAAAGTAAGGGCCTTCCTTACTAACTGCAGGGTCTATATACTACACCTCAATGTACACACTTTGCTGCTACCGTTTGTACTGTCTACAGTAGAATTTCCTTATCTTGCTCCTGGTAGTGCATTACAGGCAAGCATGAAATGTAAAGTATTTATTTAAATAAAAAGAAAACCTCTAAATTGGTAATTGAATTACCTCCCTGTAGCTTTATAGTTTGTGACATTTCTTGACCTTGCTAGTTCTTTCATTAGATCCGCGCAAGATCTAGTCATCTGGTTAAGGATTTTAAGCAGACGCAACTATGAACCCAAGAAACTGTATTACTATTACTGTTGGTCATACTAAAACTGTTTATTTCCTTAAGGATATGACCCACAAGGATGTGAAATAACTACAAGAAACTGTTTTTGTACACTGTACATCCTTAGTATTTTTACACGTATATGATAGGGATGCACATTATTTTCCTTCGTACAGACAGCTTAAATAAAGCACTATGTCAATCTGCTACTTCTCTGTTTGTTGTTGTTGGATGTGGTTCTGTAATCTCAGAAAATTAATATTCTTTTCTGAAAGAAAAATATAATAGCCCCCCACCTGGTATTAACCTACTCTTTATAAGATGTGACAGGAAACTATGTAAATTCCTCTTATCTCTAAACACAACACAGGGAATTATCTTTCCTTCAGTAAGATGGCAATAGTGCGGTTGTATAAACTTTGATGAAGGCTTCCAAAGGGGAGATGCTGGCCTTTCAGCACTGGGTTTACGACAGACCTGTGAAGCCAGGGGTGGAAGAGGGCCAGGCCATGGGGATTTATTCAGACCCTGATAATCTTCACAATAAATGGTTTGAATTTGAATTTTTAGGGAGTGTAGTTCATCAGTAATGTCTTCCTGATAATGTACTGCTCTGCATACTACTTTCTTAGGAGTGTAATCTTAGTACTTCATGGCAATTAATGAACTTAGATGTGGGTCCTAGATGGGTAGGATGGCTGGACTACAATCTGGTTTATGTTTAATCATTGCAGATGGAGCCTTTTTCTGATTTTACCTCATAAAACTACTATTGTAGAACTTGGCTTTGCTCCTGTGACTCAGCCAGAGAGAGGAAAAGCTTAGGGTCCAGAGTCAGGCATGTAGGTGTATGTCACACAGCCAAATTTGGGGGCATTCTTACATGTGCTCTTCTCTCAGAGTCACTGAGGTTGATGGATCCAGGAGGCTGAGATAAAGTGACCTCTAACATTCTTTAAAGGTGCTATTTTTAGAACATTGTATAATTTATTCATGGTATACCTAAAACAGAATTAAGGACAGTTAAAATATCTTATGTGACAGCCTTTATGTCTAGCACATTTGATGAAATCAAACACTCTGAATAGAAATACTGCTGTTTCAAGTTTGAGCCTTTGACACACTCCAGAGATGAGAGTGGTCGCTCTGTATGGACCATGCCACCACCTCCAAAGCCTAATCCACACAAATTCTGAGTGGCAAGGCTGGGCATCTAGTACTATCCGATCTGTGATGATGCTGATGATGGGTTGCTGGCCAGGGAGAACAGCAGGTCAGGGGCTTGTCCCAACTGTAGACTCAGTGTCCATTTTTATTCCTTTCAAACATTCGAGGGCTTGACTGTGTATAGTAGAAATACTATTTTAGGCCAAAAATAATGATCTGTGTACACATATTTGATATACTCTAAGACATTTTCTAATTTCTCTAGGTACATTTATAGGCTCAAATACTGCTATTGAAGGAAAAAAATCTGACACCACCGAGCCAAAGATGCTTTTCTTTTTGTCAGTTTTTGTTGTTTACAGAATGGAAAGAGTAAGGCACAGTGCTTCCTGGTGTCTCCTGAATGTGCACATATTAATAAGATGACAAATAATGGATGCTGATTAAAAGCAAAGAAAGATGAAGGATGATACATATCAGGAAAAGGAAAAGAAAAATGGCAGGAAAAGTCTGGTCCTAAACACATCTGGCCTAGTTAAAATATGTGCCTTTTTGGTGTTTTGTGTTCATTACTACAAGGTAAAAAGGAAACATTACAATTTAAGTCTTTAAAAAAGGTCATTTATTGAAATTCCTATGTATAACCTAGTGTATTTAAAATTAGCATATTTAAAAATAGTAACTTCAAGCCATTTCTGAGAACACATACCAGGAGTCTCCTCATCCAGGTTCAGACTTCAATCCTAGCCAGTTCCTAATGCAGGGACAAAAAACGTAGCATGAGGACCAGCCCCAGTGCAGTCCGAGGTGGTATTACCCTGGGAAGGTGCAGTGTGTTGTGGCATATTAAATACAAATCAGATGAATGTAAATATCTCTTTGTAAACCATTTATTTCACTCTGTTTCATCCAGGTCAGCAATCAGATTGTGGCATGCTGGGTAACTGGAAAAAAATGATAATAAAAAGTAAGTTTAAATAGATCATGTTCCTCAATGTGATTTGTCTTCTCATTTGCTGGTTTAGTCACTGTTTATTACTAAATTTCTAGAGAAAAAATTTTCTGTTGGTAAAAATGAGAAAATTACATATTACCAGTTGATGAAACCTTTCCATCTTATCCTGACCACAGATCAAATCCCTTGTTGCATATGAATATAAGTTTAACAATTTTATTTTAATGTTTTCAATCTAAAAGCCATCTTTACTACAGAACATTGTGCCTCCGAATAAGGATATCTGATGTTAGGACATGTCCAGAAAGCCATCTCTCTCCCTCTCTGGTTGTATTTGTGCTAAAATTGATCCCACATTACAGTGGACAAAGGATGAAAAACAGTGTGAACCAAGAGCCCCTAAGAAATTCTTGAAGCAGTACAAGCTGAATCCTTCCATTTTTAGATACAGACAGTTTATTGCAATGTATAGAAGCATTTTTGCATGGAAACCTCCCACATGCTGGAAAAGGGAATCTGGGGTATTGTGGTCTCTTGGTTTTAAACAAGGGCATTAAACATTTCAAAACCACTTCATGTAAATTGGAAGGAGAACCACAAAGTTAGTACTGTCACCTGCCTCTGCTGATATGGCTGTTCACATTAGTTTAAACCATACCAAGAAATAGCCTCAGAAAGCACTAAATGATTACCTTGAACAAAACCTTGAATCTCCACTGTGCCCTAAGTGGTGAGGTAACAACACAGTCCTGCCTCCAGGAGTGTGAAATCCAGGTGTTTTCCAAATCCCAGTTTACACTTCAAAAGGTGCATGGTAATGCAGTGCAGAGCCATGGGCCCAGCCTGGTCTCTGTAAAGGGGAACATCTCAAAGAAACAGAAGTGGACCAGCATGTCCAGAATTCAAGGGATATCTCTGTCAATCATGATTAAGTGTTGGGGATCTCCAAGTTGATTTACAGTGAGATCAAAATCAGAATTTACCCAAGGGAAATATAAGAAAATCATGTCTTGCATTTTTTTTAAAAGCAAGAAAGGTTGTGTTTACATTTCACATAGATTTCGCAATGTATGAGATGCTGATGATGACTTTTAATAAGTAGGAGGATCTCCACACAAGGCAGAGGCCCATGTGCAGACAGGCTGCACAGGATTTGCAGGTATGGCACAGAAGGAGGCCTCCCTCTGCCCACCAAAGTGAGCTGGTGTTATGATTGATGCACACGCCAAGTTAGGGGGGATGGTGGTGGGCGGGTCCTCTTAGGCTTCCTGAGCCCTTCCGCTGAGGGGGCCACCAGGAGTCTACCGTGCCCCAAACCCTACTATTGCAGAGGGGCTCCCTTCTTTTCTTGGCAGCACACAGCCTGCCACAGACTCCATCTGACCATAGCCAGCCAGTGCCTCTACCTAGAGCTGATTTCCTACCAGTGGGGCTTGAATGACCCTCCCTGCTTTGTGGCTTAGCCAAGAAAGGCAGTGCCTGGTGGCTTGGATACCTCCACACAGTGGCTTATTTCCTAACTTTACAAATTCTACAATGACTTTAAAACTAGGATAGCATAACCCACTGGCATATTTGAAAAGAAAAATATGAATTAACTGGGTACAAAGCACACTTCACCCCATACACCCAATACAGAACATGGTGAAAACCTGAAGTAGAAATAAAATTGTTGTAGAATTTTTATTTTTTTTTCAACTAAGCCCCAGAAAACTGGGATCACTTCTCATAACAAGCCTTCGTAATGCCCGTGGGCTCCAGGCGCACCTAGTAATTCATCATCAGCTGATCTGTCCCCTGAAGCCACTCAGACTGCTCTGCTGAAACCGGTGGCTGCCTGCTGCCTGCCATGGCTGCAAAAGGCAACAGATGTGAGGTCCTCAACAGGAGCACGCGGACATCGACCTGAACTTCTCCCCCTGGAGCAAACCGGCTGTCCCTGTCATCATGTTTTACATTTCATCTGGTTTGGTGGGAAGCCCATATTCAGACTCACTTTCACATTATAGCACTTCCTGTTCACAGGAAGTGCCTACAGCGGGCTGGACCCCTAATAAGCTCTCTAGTTTGTATTTGCTAAGTGAATAATTCACCTTGTCATGTCACTGTTTTATCCGCTGAAGGCAGCACTCTGTATCATCCTGTTTGCTGAACCCTCTGTGACACTTTTCAGGGTTCCCCCTCATCCTGCACTTCTCTGGTACCATCTGAGGCAGAAGTTCCTCCCACAACCAGCTTCTCTGCCACCCTTTCTGAGGGTGCTAGTAATGCATGTTTCCAGAGCTGGTTCTCCTGTCCACACCATGTGATTAGGGTCTCACTGTCCTGGAGACAGCTGTGTGGGCCTGTAGGAATTGAGCCAGTCAGAACTGTGGCGGCGTAAGCTCCCAGCCACTGTCTTCCTGTCGTCCTGCTTTTCAGCTTGCCATGAAGGCTCTTGCTGTGCCCCTCCAGGGTATGAGGCCACATCTGCAGGGGTCTGTGGCTGCCTCTGTATCAGAGGTGAGCACCAGGGCCTTGGCAGCTGCTCTCTGAAATACTGCCTGCAGGCAATAGAAGCGCCTATCTGCAGGCCCACCACTACTAACCCATTCATTGGAATCTCTTCTCATTTTAAATCCTCAGAGCTTCCTCTCCACACAACAGCCTGACTTCCTGCCTAATTTATTTCTTAAGTTTGACTTTAGAGTTTAAAAAGTGGGTTGCTCTGAGCGATTTGAATTGATCCCCAGGCAACCATGCTACAGGGTACCCCCCCACCCCAGCCTTTACTGTTGCTTTATTTCCAAGCTGGCCTGAAAGGGCAGTGGTGGCAGCCAGGGAGGTGCTTAAGGAAGCACACCGTGCTCAGCCTTCCCTAGGCTGCCACTTGAATCTCTTCTCTGGGCTTCTCTGCCACAGCCTTTCAGCAGCCCCTCCAAAGGCAACATCCCTGCACCCCACAATTTCTTGCTCCCTGCTTTGCACTCTATTGTTTGTACACTCTCTGTGTGACCAGGTCAAAATGGGCCTGTTCCCTATGCCTCTGGAAATTAAGCATTGATTTTTATTTTTAATTTTTAGGATTTCTAGTTGAAGATGGACAAA